CATACCCCAGCTCCTTGTCTTCATATCCCAGCTCCTTGTCATCATATCCCAGCTCCTTGTCCTCATACCCCAGAGCCAGCCAACCAGCCAGACACCCAGCCAGCCAGTCAGCCAGCCAGCCAGCCAGCCAGCCAGACACCCAGCCAGCCAGCCAGCCAGCCAGACACCCAGCCAGCCAGCCAGCCAGCCAGCCAGCCAGACACCCAGCCAGCCAGCCAGACACCCAGCCAGCCAGCCAGCCAGCCACCAAGCCAGCCAGACAGCCAGCCAGACACACAGCCAGCCAGCCAACCAACCAGCCAGACACCCAGCCAGCCAGCCAGCCAGACAGTCAGCCAGCCAGCCAGCCAGACAGACAGTCAGCCAGCCAGACAGCCAGCCAGCCAGCCAGCCAGCCAGCCAGCCAGCCAGCCAGCCAGCCAGCCAGACAGACAGCCAGCCAGCCAGCCAGCCAGCCAGCCAGCCAGCCAGACAGCCAGCCAGCCAGCCAGCCAGCCAGCCAGCCAGCCAGCCAGACAGCCAGCCAGCCAGCCAGACAGCCAGCCAGCTACCCAGCCAAACAGCCAGCCAGACAGCCAACCAGCCAGTCAGCCAGCCAGACAGTCAGCCAGCCAGACAGCCAACCAGCCAGCCAGCCAGACAGCCAGCCAGACAGGCAGCCAGCCAGCCAACCAACCAGTCAGCAAGCCAGCCAGACAGTCAGCCAGAAAGGCAGCCAGCCAACCAGCCAGCCAGCCAGACAGGCAGCCAGCCAGTCAGCTAGCCAGACAGCCAGCCAGACAGCCAGCCAGCCAGCCAGACAGCCAACCAACCAGTCAGCAAGCCAGCCAGACAGGCAGCCAGCCAGACAGGCAGCCAGCCAGACAGGCAGCCAGCCAGACAGCCAGCCAGACAGCCAGCCAGCCAGCCAGCCAGTCAGCTAGCCAGACAGCCAGCCAGCCAGCCAACCAGCCAGCTAGCCAGCCAGCTAGCCAGCCAGCCAGCCAGCTAGCCAGCCAGCCAGACACCCAGTCAGCTAGCCAGCCAGTCAGCTAGCCAGCCAGCCAGCTAGCCAGCCAGCCAGCCAGACACCCAGTCAGCTAGCCAGCCAACCAACCAGCCAGCCAGCCAGCCAGTCAACCAACCAGCCAACCAGCCAGCCAGCCAGCCAGACAGTCAGTCAGCCAGACAGGCAGCCAGCCAGCCAGTCAGCCAGCCAGACAAGCAGCCAACCAGCCAGCCAGTCAGACAGGCAGCCAGCCAGCCAGCCAGCCAACCAACCAGCCAACCAGCCAGTCAGTCAACCAACCAGCCAACCAGCCAGACAGTCAGCCAGCCAGCCAGCCAGCTAGCCAGACAGCTAACCAGCCAGCCAGCCAGCCAGACAAACAGACAGGCAGCCAGCCAGCCAACCAGCCAGACAGTCAGCCAGACAACCAGCCAGCCAGCCAGACAGGCAGCCAGCCAGCCAGCCAGCCAGCCAGCCAGCCAACCAGCCAGCCAACCAGACAGCCAGCCAGCCAGCCAGGCAGCCAGCCAGCCAGCCAGCCAGCCAGCCAGCCAGCCAGCCAGCCAGCCAGCCAGCCAGCCAGCCAGCCAGGCAGCCAGCCAGACAGGCAGCCAGCCAGCCAGCCAGCCAGCCAGCCAGCCAGCCAGACAGGCAGCCAGCCAGGCAGCCAGCCAGCCAGACAGCCAGCCAGACAGGCAGCCAGCCAGCCAGCCAGCCAGCCAGACAGACAGGCAGGCAGCCAGCCAGCCAGACAGGCTGCCAGCCAACCAGCCAGACAGCCAGCCAGACAGGCAGCCAGACAGCCAGCCAGGCAGCCAGCCAGACAGGCAGCCAGCCAGCCAGCCAGCCAGACAGGCAGCCAGCCAGCCAACCAGCCAGACAGTCAGCCAGACAACCAGCCAGCCAGCCAGCCAGACAGCCAGCCAGCCAGCCAGCCAGCCAGCCAACCAGACAGCCAGCCAGCCAGCCAGGCAGCCAGCCAGCCAGCCAGCCAGACAGCCAGCCAGGCAGCCAGCCAGACAGGCAGCCAGCCAGCCAGCCAGACAGGCAGCCAGCCAGCCAGACAGGCAGCCAGCCAGCCAGCCAGACAGCCAACCAACCAGCCAGACAGCCAGCCAGCCAGACAGGCAGCCAGACAGCCAGCCAGCCAGCCAGCCAGACAGGCAGCCAGCCAGCCAGACAGGCAGGCAGCCAGCCAGCCAGCCAGCCAGACAGACAGCCAGCCAGACAGCCAGACAGCCAGACAGCCTGGGAGGGAGGGAGGGAAGCAAACAATGAGAGGGAGGCAGGGTGGGGCTTGGGGGCGGCCGTTACCCACAGCTCAATTTGGCAGAGGTCCAAGAGTGAGGCTCTAGTGATCTTTGTGGTGAAGATGTTCACCGGACCCCACTCTCACTCTCTCCTCTCACTCCCTCCACTCTCACTCTCTCCTCTCACTCCCTCCACTCTCACTCTCTCTCCTCTCTCACTCCCTCCACTCTCACTCTCTCCTCTCACTCCCTCCACTCTCACTCTCTCTCCTCTCACTCCTGGCTGCCTCCACTCTCACTCTCTCTCCTCTCACTCCTGGCTGCCTCCACTCTCACTCTCTCCTCTCACTCCCTCCACTCTCACTCTCTCTCCTCTCACTCCTGGCTGCCTCCACTCTCACTCTCTCTCCTCTCACTCCTGGCTGCCTCCACTCTCACTCACACTCTCACACTCCTGGCTGCCTCCTCTCACTCACACTCTCACACTCCTGGCTACCCCCACTCTCACTCACACTCTCACAATCCTGGCTGCCCCCACTCTCACTCACACTCTCACACTCCTGGCTACCCCCACTCTCACTCACACTCTCACACTCCTGGCTGCCTCCAATCTCACTCACACTCTCACAATCCTGGCTGCCCCCACTCTCACTCACACTCTCACAATCCTGGCTGCCCCCACTCTCACTCACACTCTCACACTCCTGGCCTGCTCACACTGTCTACAGGTTTCAGTCTCATAAAGACATAAGGGGAATGGTTAATCTGCATTCACGTTTTTGTAAACCACACACACACACACACACACACACACACACACACACACACACACACACACACACACACACACACACACACACACACACACACACACACACACACACACACACACACACACACACACACACACACACACACAAAGGCAACCCCAAATGCCATATTAGAAGGAAAACAACAGTGAAGGAAGAGGTGATAAAACTGAGGATAGAAGCAGACAGGTTCACGACACATGACAGAAACACCAGGTACCACTGGAGGAGTTTGAGAGTACCAATGGGGAGGTAAGGAAACATTGGATGGAGTTGGACGTAGCAAAGGCTGTTGGCTCAGATGGACTCTCACCATGGACAGTGAGAGTCCATCTGAGATAGGGAGAGTCCATTTGAATAAGGAGTCCATCTCCCTACTCAAATAGGGAGCAAGAGCACTATGCCTGCCTGTGGTGTATAACAAATCCCTGGTAACAGGTGAACTGCCAAAAATTTGGAAGACGGCTATTGTAGTTCCAGTATACAAGAAGACAGACAGACAGACAGGATGCCCCTGGATGGACACGATTGTGAGGAAAAACTAGTAGAACATCTGGAGAGTGAGAATTTTGTAACACATCCCCAGCATGAGTTCAGGGATGGCAAATCTTGCCTCATAGGATTAACTGAGTTTTATGAAGAGGCAGCAAACATTAGGTAAGAAAGAGAAGGGTGGGCAGACTGCATATTCTTTGATTGCCAGTAAAGCCTTTGACACAGTATACTATAAGTCTTGTGCTTAAGTTGGAGATGCAGGCAGGAGTAACAGGGAAGGTACTCCGGGGGATAAGGGAGTACCTAAGCAACAGAAGACAGTGAGTCACTGTGAGGGGTGAGGTCCCAGAGTGGTGAGACGTAACTAGTGGAATCCCACAAGTTCAGTCCTTGGACCTATCCTGTTTCAGATATATGTAAACGATCTTTCAGAGAGAATAGATTCGTTTCTATCAATGTTTGCTGATGATGCAAAAATTATGAAGAGGATTAAGGCAAAGGAAGATAACAGGAGGCTACACGATGATCTAGACACCCTGAAGGAGTTGTCCAACAAATGGCTACTAGAGTTTAACTGAAGTAAATGTAAAGTAATGGAGGTAGGTGGAGGGATCAGGAGGCCAGACACAAGGTACCAAATGGGAGACAAAGTCCTCCACGAAACGGGCAGAGAGAAGTATTTAGGAGTTGATATCACACCAAACCTGTCTCCTGAAACCCACATAAACGGGATATCATCAGCAGTGTATACGAGGCTGGCTAACATCAGAATTGCCTTTAGAAATTTGTATAAGGAATAATTTAGAACCTTATACACCACATACGTCAGACCAATCCTAGAGACTGCTGCTCCAGCGCGGAGCCCGTACCTCGTACAGCACAAGACAAAGCTGGAGAAGGTTGAGAGGTATGCCACTAGACTAGTCCCAGAACTAAGAGGCATGACTTACGAGGAAAGACTCAGTTACAGCCCCGCTCCTATGCCAGATAAGTCCACTACGGGCTCACCATTGCCCGTGCTACTTGCAACTTTTGTTCCGAGAAACTGAATCTAAAACAACAACAACAAGGAAACGCTGCGTGAATTGCTCCTCACGTCGCTGAAAGACAGAAGAGTTCGAGGAGACATGATCACCACATACAAAATTCTCAGGGGAATTGACAGGATAGATAAGGACATTATTTATCACCTGTGGTACTCGCACAAGGGGACACAGGTGGAAACTTAGTACCCAAATGAGCCACAGAGACATTTGAAAGAACTTTTTCAGTTTCAGAGTAGTTAGTAAATGCATTACTATTCAGTTAGTAAACTGCACTACATTAGGCAGTGATGTGGTGGAGGAAGATTACACACACATTTTCAAATGTAAATATGATAGAGCCTAATAGACTCTGTACTGTACAATCTAAGGAATCTGTACACCAGTTGATTGACAGTTGAGAGGCGGGACCAACGAGCCGAAGTTCAACCCCTGCAAGCACAACTAGGTGAGTATAGACACACACACACTTGTATAAGCTATTTTAGTCCCCATAGTCCGTCCTCTACCAATTCACTGGGTGTTTCTCCAAGGTAAACAACCTCACGCTCTAGAACACCCAAAATACCACAATTCTTATCAACTTGGAGACTTAATTTTATAAACAAAAGCCCTTGCCTCACGTGAGCCCTTCGGGGTGAAATAGAGACATGGATCTTTATATTTAAAATAGCTACTACGAAGTTGGGAATTGTTTGGGTGAGCGGCGTGTGTTGGTGTTGCAAGAGACCAGCTCATGCCATCTATTGGCGGCGTGAGGAACCACTGGCCCGATAACCGGCCTCTTGCACCACGTCAAGTGTATGCATAATACAACTCCCCAGATCCGCCCAATTAATCTAATCAACGGAAAACACCAAAGCCAAAGAGAAGCCGATAACTGACAACAATCTGAAACCTTATTTCGTAGCGGGGGCGAGAGAGCGCTGCTCGTCATCCACGGCACTAGACGAGGTAATAATAATAATAATAGTGATGATAATAATAATTGTAGGTAAGGAGGCGAGGCTGCGTGATGTAAGGTGTGGTGGTGGTCAATGGTGGTGCTGGCTGGCCTTCCCTGTCACCACCACCAGCCTCATGCACCAACCCTTCCTTTAAGATTGTTGTTTAACATTCGCTACCTGGAACCAAAAGCTCCAAGCAGCACGGGCTATGGTGAGCCCATAGTACGTTCTATACGCCAAACTTGCAGCCAATACATCAATCATACTAAGTTAACTCAGTTGTCTCATAATTCAAGACCATTGGTATTATTAGTATAACATACCAACAGATAACATTCTAAATGAAAAATGTACAATGTTAAGAGTATTCCTCAGTGCTCTAGTATTCCTTCACACGTTCCAACGACGAACGGTGCGTCCAGAAATAATTAATATTAGTTCCTCCCAACCTCCTCTTTCTGTATATATATCTGTCTATCAGAGACAATAACTGTCAGTCTGTATGTCCAAGGTTGGAGGCCAGATATTTAGGGCTTGTCTCACCCAACTTTCACACATGAAGCATGCGTGGTAGGGGAATGTCATAGGCCAATCCGGTCATGCACAGTGAAATGCTTTAAGAAATACTTGCATATATAAAGACACTCCCCCAATGCGATCTACATGGAGCCAATATTTTTCATGGAGTCTGAAATATTCCCTTTCCCATACAGCTTGCGGCTAGCCTCACTACATTTTGCCGAGTAATTTGTGGTTGTATGACAAGTCTAGTACGGTGATTATCGTCGACCCCCCCCCATGCCCCACCTTAAGAAGGACTGGCTCCTATTCTAAATCCCACTGACTCCAATGACGTATGAAATGTGAGTTTGATTGTCCACAGAGTGCTAAAATATGTTTCATGGCTGTTTTCGATGTTGAATTAGGAAAAAAGGAACAAGAGAGAGACAGAGAGAGAACACATAAAATTTTGAAAGGCTAACAGCTATCTTTTCAAACTTTTCACTGTGATTATTCTGCATTACTGGATAAACGTTTTTTTTTATCCTTCTTACATAAATATATGTGTGTGTGTGTGTATATAAACCACGAAGAAATTAACATACCACGAAGGAAGGATTAAGACAGTAATTTCCTTAAGTCCATTCGTATATAATAATACATCTTCAGAAGGACGGATTTACATTGACTGATGAAGGTTAAGCCACCCAAGAGGCGACACTGGCGTCAATAGCCCGTAAATGGATATACAGTTTAGTGGGTGTGGATATATAGGCGGGAAAGAGGTGAGGTGAGCTACAATGTCTTCAATGAGATAATACGTTATTAGTGAGATAAATGTGTATCAGTATGATCATACTCATACTGATCATACAATGATTCATACATATCAATCATGATATATATTTATTTATTTACAATATACCTTCTTCTATATATATAAATAAATAAATAAATAAATGTACCAGAGTATTGAGTATGAGTATGATCCATTAGGGCCCAATGGATCTAAGTTATACAAATCACTGCTAATGTTCAAGTTACATAATTTTGTAATCTGTATTAAAGCATATTCAATAATGTTCCTATTTAAAATGCCTTCACAATTCGTTATTGAAGAAGCCATCTGCCAATCAATTTGGTGAGAACTTTCTGACAAATGAACAAACAAAGCATTAGACAGCTGGCCATGTTTTACAGAAAATTTATGTTGCGAAATTCTAAATTTCAAATCATGGATGTTTGCCCACCATAGAACCTACTACAGTCTTTACAAGGTATTTTGAAAATGACACAATTATCACTGCGGGGACTGTTTCTAACTAATAGTTTTCCAACAGTATTTTCGAATTAAACAATAAGTATACTGTATATCAAAAAGTTTCAAGGCCTTCACAATATTTTCGTACCCAGAAACATTTAGTAAACATAACACATTTTTGGGGGCGAATTATTCTCATTGCATATATTATTATAATATGTGCAATGTGCTTTGCTACGGCAAACTTCCAAAAAACTTAGTGGATAACAAAGCCTTAGACCAATAGAATCAATATTCCTAAACTCTTCATCTAGGAATTCTGGATTAACAACCCGAAGAGCTCTTAGATACATACACGAAAAATTGGTTGTTTCACATTTTATCTATGCCCTGAAAAATAATGAACATAAGATAAACTATTCATAGGCTTTCTGTAAACGCTAAACATTAGTGAAAAATCTTCCCTATGAATAAGTATATCTAAGAATGGCAAACATTTATCAATTTCAGTCTCTATAATAAATTTTATAGAGGTGACTTGATCATTAAATTTAGCTAAAATTCGTCTAAATTCACATTTGTAGGCCATATACACAAATTATCATCAACATATCTAAACAGAGAATGATTCCAAGGGTAATTTAAAGAAAAATAAAAATTCTCGAAAAATTCCATGTGCAAATTTGAAAGCAATGTTCCAATCACTCCTCATGTCAAGTTAATCAGTTCCGACGCTTGTTCTTTGTTTATTAATTTAAAGTTCCGGTTGATGATATTCTTAATTATCATGCTGATGAATTAATGAATCATACCTCTGCTTGCTGATATTATTATCAATCTCGTTATGATGTGTATAAAAGAATGTAAATTTAATTTAATTAATGAGTATTATTATAGACTTTTGGAATGGCAATGGGGAATCCTTTATATTCCAAAAGTCTGTAATAATACTCATTACTAAATTAAATTTAAATTCTTGTTTACACAACGAGATTGACAATAATATCAGCAAGCAGAGGTAATTGATGATTCATTAATTCATCAGCAAGGTAATCAAGAATATCATCAACCGGAACTTTAATAAACAAAGAACAAACGTCGAAACTGATTAACTTGACATCAGGACTGATTGGAACATTATTAAATGTGTTAACTAATTCAATAGAAGTGATCAAATGTGAAAATGAAATAGTTCCTAACAATGGGGGACAGGAGTTTGGCGAGCCATTTAGAAAGCTTGTAAGAAATGGATCCCAGAGAACTGATAATGCTAGTGCTACCCAATTCCCAAAAATATGTACCTATACCATACAACTTTACCATTGTAATCATTGATGTTATATTATATCATGTTATTCACATAGTTTGCTACATTATATCTTGTAATAATCCTCATATTATGCTAAAAATGTATCTGTGATAACCCTTAAATTTACTTTAATGTACCTACTGTTTTGTTCTGTCAAATTTCTTATATGTAATTTTTTTTATGCTTTCTGACAATTCATTTGTATACCTTCTTACTCTGTATATTTATACTGTCTTACAATGTACCTGTAATTTTTTTGTTAATTTTGCTAGAAATTATCTTCTTAAAATTATATGTTAGATTAAGGATCTATCTGAAACGCTATACGTGCTAGTGGCTGTACAAGAATGTCAAACTTCAAATCTCTGTACTCTAATAAACCCAATGTACCTTCTTGTATATAAATAAATAAATAATAGGCCCCATGGGATAGTAAGACTTATGCGTCTTGACAAGGCCATAGAAATATGGCAATAAAGAAGATGAGGGAGTAAATTGATTAAGAAGATCTTTATAGTTTCTTAAAACCTTCCTCAAGCTGCTGTTGAAGGACTTTATGATGTCATCAAGATCATTTCCCCCGAGTTTGATGTATGTTGAAGAATCTTGGAGGAGATCATTCATTTTGGAAATATATTCCTCCTTATTTAAAATAACAACAGTGCTTGATTTGTCAGCCTTTGTGATGTGACTGGAGAGGTCGACTCTTAACTCCTGTAAGCCTCATCTGATGAACCTTTCAGGGAAATTGTTGGTTTGAGGCGTCAACAGTGAACCATAAACAATACCTTTAACCAAGTTGAAGTTTTACTGAGAGAGAATATTTTGTTTTCAAGCTAAACATCTATACATCTTGAAAAGTGTTTCAATATGTATTATTAAATACGAAAGTACTTGAGGAAATTCCTGTCTTAATCCTTCCTTCGTAGTTTGACTATCTATCTATATATATATATATATATATATATATATATATATATATATATATATATATATATATATATATATATATATAGAGAGAGAGAGAGAGATTTCTGATGGAAATCTTTTATTGCTTAATAAAAAAGACCAATGCAATATCAGACATATTCTTGTATAGTACTTTTATTTAAAAAGCTTCACATAATGTTGCCAACACTTTATGTTCATCCTCATATCTTAAAGACAACAGAAGCAACTAAGTTGTTAAAACACTAAAATAAAGTTTAAAAATGTTCAAAATAAAATTACTGAAGGAACTATAAGTAACTAGAAAACACAGGACACTACAAACTGACAAACATTTATACCAATAAGACAGCAAATCTCTACATACCAATTGGTCAAAATATAAACTGACAGGTTAAAAATAATTACAATTATTTATTACAAAACAAACACAAACCCGAAGACATTGGGAGCTTTTACAAAACAAAAAAATAAATTGTCTATACAGTATACCTAGGTCATAAAAGTATTTGTGTGTACGTCTGATACCATACTACTTGTGTAAAGGAGGAAATGTATATGTTTATGTCTCAGAATGTTTGTGGTAATATGTTTATTGTTTGTGATGTGTGTCTATGTATGTATTAACACGATGTACTGAACGGGGTGAGAATAGCTTGAGCTACCTCATCCCTTTGTGTGTATTTTACCTCAATAAACTTATTTCAATTTCAATTTCAAACATAAAATAAATTATATCAAAACTGTAAACCACATTTAAAAGTTAATAGTCAAATATTTACACAAAAAACAGTAATTATACTAATTTCCATAAACAAGTAAACACAAGAGCCCATATAACACAATATAAATATAAGAAATTAAAAAGCACAAAAGCTAAACTGGAAAAGAAGGTGGACTAAAGAACTTGGTATAAATATAAGCTGTGTAAAGCTGCTCACACGAGATAGTTTTATTCAATAAGAACCAAAGCTTTTAATATAAAAAAACTCCATTATTCTTTGAACAGAGAAGCCACCATTACAAATATCCAGAATTTCCGAAGCAGATTATCTGAGAGCATGATCCTGTTGTGGAAAATAGTCTCTTATCTCAGCGATGGATGCCTTCAATAAAGACTTATCAGAACTGAACTGTTCTGGTCCGTTCTGAACAAATGAACTGCAAATAATTTTTTTAACAAATGGAATAGGCGTTCAAAGACTAAAAAAATGGCTTACGAACCAACCAACCAACCCCCTCCTGTTTGTTCCAACATTTTGAAGTTGCTGATGGAACTGCCCAAGTGTGCAGAGTGACAGCTGGAACACTTGTATGAACAAACCACAATGGAAGACAACTGAGTGGGAACATTGGCCCTGGACTGAACACCAGAACCAACGGTGCTCCAATTAGTAAAGGTTAATCTAAACTCTGTCTGAGGACGACACTGTTGGAGCAGTTCTGAGTAACTGAGAGTTCTGAACAACTGAGAGTTCTGAGTAGCTGAGAGTTCTGAACAACTGAGAGTTCTGAACAACTGAGAGTTCTGAGTAGCTGAGAGTTCTGAGAAACTGAGAGTTCTGAACAACTGAGAGTTCTGAGTAGCTGAGAGTTCTGAGAAACTGAGAGTTCTGAACAACTGAGAGTTCTGAGTAGCTGAGAGTTCTGAGAAACTGAGAGTTCTAAGAAACTGAGAGTTCTGAGCAACTGAGAGTTCTGAGCAACTGAGAGTTCTGAGCAACTGAGAGTTCTGAGCAACTGAGAGTTCTGAGCAACTGAGAGTTCTGAACAACTGAGAGTTCTGAACAACTGAGAGTTCTGAGAAACTGAGAGTTCTGAGCAACTGAGAGTTCTGAGCAACTGAGAGTTCTGAGCAACTGAGAGTTCTGAGCAACTGAGAGTTCTGAGTAGCTGAGAGTTCTGAGAAACTGAGAGTTCTGAGCAACTGTGAGTTCTGAGCAACTGAGAGTTCTGAGCAACTGAGAGTTCTGAGCAACTGAGAGTTCTGAGCAACTGAGAGTTCTGAGAAACTGAGAGTTCTGAGTAGCTGAGAGTTCTGAGAAACTGAGAGTTCTGAGCAATTGTGAGTTCTGAGAAACTGAGAGTTCTGATAAACTGAGAGTTCTGAGCAACTGAGAGTTCTGAGCAATTGTGAGTTCTGAGAAACTGAGAGTTCTGAGCAACTGAGAGTTCTGAGTAGCTGAGAGTTCTGAGAGATATTAAACTCCCATAATATTGGAATGTAATACATCTGGGATCTATAAGATCCCAGATATATTACAAGATCTCACTGCAGAGATCTTAGAGCAGGACAAAAATTTGCCTGTAAAAAAAAAACTGTTAATGGCTGTTTGTCCCACAAGGAAACAATAAACATTAGTCGAGAAAAATCCCACCAAGAACTTAATTCGAAGATTGAAACTGTATCACATTGCAAATCGCCAAATAAACTTGGCGAAAAGCATAAGCGTTTTTCGCCAAGTTTTGAATTTAATTCCTCTTAAATTTTTTTTACATCAAGCAAGGACAAAGAATTATTAAGCTCACATTCAGTAGTAAAATTATATTAGAATGTTGAGCATTTAAATAATCCTTAAACTTAACAATATGGGAGAGATTTTTATAAAAAAAATATATAGTTATCATTATATCTTTATAAAAAAAATCAGGTCTAAAATCAAGAAGATATATGATAAATTTTTAGGTGTCAGCACGCAGCCTCTCTACTTTATTATCTTAATTTATCTACTCTAAAATAACTCTATCTCTACCTTTCTCAGGTCTGGTAACACAAATCCTGCTACCGATAACACCTTACATACAATCAAATTGTTTCTTATCGGAAGGAGGGAACAATTACAATCTCAATTTAATACAATCATTAACGACATAATGTGTCACACTTGGGCCAATATTAACAACTTTGGTCCAGTCAAAATCTATATAACTTTACAATATAAAAAAAATTTAACAAATGGAATAGGCGTTCGAAGCCTAAAAAAAATGGCTTTCGAACCAAAACCCAACCGAAGCAAAAGAAGATTCTTGTCAATGGGAGAAAGGATTCACTTACAAAAATTGAAGAAAACATTTTCCGGAGTCACAGAATTAAACACAGGTAAGCCCAAATGGTGAAGTTTCCTTAAATGCATTATGTGTGATTTCCTCCGAGGCTACGTGTCCCCCTTCTTCCAGCCAGAGATGGTACTCCCTTCTGTATATGCTATATATAATATGTATATATAAATATTATATAGTAGGAGGTGGTGTGGGGGATAGGAGAGGTCTGTGAGAAGGGAGGAGGAGGGGTGGGAGAGAGACAAGAACCGGGCACCGGTTCTGTTTGGAACGAGATACGTAACTTTCTCCGGTTCTTCCGGTTCTTCATTAGGCTAATGCATGGCACGACACGTAGGTCAATATACACAGGAAAAAAGACACGTCATTGTCATTAGGGAAAAAGGCTTCCTTGTTGTGCTTCCGCAAATACCCGCATATGATCTACAGTCTCCCAATGATTATTATGCTGTTATGTCTCTTTTACCTGAGGGCCACCACCTCCAGTGGCTTCGACAGTAACAGGAATTTCGTCCTAGTTCCATATTAATTCGGCAGCTGTGTGTGTCATCATGATGGGTTATATTGTGTGCGATGGTATTCACATGAGAGAGATACTAATCCCTTCATTTTGTGCAGTGAACAAGCTATTTATAATTGCTATTATAAGGCTGTTGTTGTCTATCTTGCAGAGTTTTTCAAGTGTTTGAAGAGCAAACTGTGAATCACAGAGCATTACTCCACCTCCTGTGTTGTTTCGTGTACTAGTGACTAGTTGTAGTGCAACTAGTTCTGTTAGTGTACTGGTAGCTAGTTGTAGCGCCGCTAGTCCTGTTAGCGCACTGGTAGTTGTAGCGGTAGTAGTCCTGTTAGTGGACTAGTAGTACAGTTGTAGTCCTGTTAATAGCATAGTTGTAGTCTTGTTAGTGTACTGGCAGCTTGTTGTAAATGAGCTAGTTCTGTTTGCACAGAGTTCAGCCAGTTTAACCTGGCGCTGGTAGCCTGTGTGCAAGTATTATTCTGTAAAACCTACAGCCTGCTGCAGTCCGTCCTGTCCTTATACTTGCTGTGAGGATATTGAACAGTGTGTGCACCTGTAAGATCCACAGTGTTCTCTGTGACTCTATGTAACCTCTAGTCTTCAACTATTCTGCATTTGTTATCGTATCTTCTGCTTCAGTATGTTGTTGTTCTACTGTCTGTTTTATACTTATTAAATGTGTCTGACTATCAGGTCAGGTTTGGCTATATAGCATTGAAAAAAATCAAAACAACAAATTTGCCCACAAATCTCATCTCAATCTTTTCTTGATATACTAAGAAACAGTAAGAGTATCCCAGTTCAAAACTGGGGTGAGGCAACTAACTTAGACAAAGTCAATATTAAACCTACCAATATTATCACAAATATTAGAAGAAATTATTTACAAAAAGCTGTACTCCTACCTTGCAAAATTCAACAAAAAAGGTTCCAGCCAGATGGACTTCAGATCCCAATAGGCTACCAATGATGTCACTATGAATTTGCTTCACTTAATCTACTCAGCCTTTGACAAAAATAATAGTCTTTTGATGCTTAAAATTAATCAATATGCAATTCGAGGCCTTGCTCTGAACTATATACATCATATGACATCAACAAAGACCAGTACGTGGTCATCAATGACCTCTCCCACTCTACCATTAACCATACAAGTGTCACAGGCCAGTGTCATAGAACCTTTCCTATTTCTTATATACATCAATGACGTGCCAAATGTCGCTATGTTCTTAAACCTATACTATTTCCTGACGACACTGTCTTCATCTGTTTAAACCCCCAACTCACACACTCGATATAATATCGTAAAGAACGAATTAAACAAAATTCCTCTTATGGATATCAACCAACACTCACACAAAACTTAGAAGAGACCTATAGGTACTACATTTTATTTGGAAACAAAGTATCGAACCAAATACATCTTCAGATAGACACTGTCAACATTAATAATGAGGGAAAGTTCCTTGGCCTGTACACAAATAGCAGACTTAAAGAACAAATCCACAAGGGCCGTGACGAGGATTCGAACCTGCGTCTGTGTGTAGCAGACTTAACTTCAGTACTCACAGCGCATAGACAAAAAAGTCTTTAGAACTGTTGGTATACTCTCAAAAATCAGATATCCTAATCTCTAATCTCAATTAGTATTAAGTTTTAGTCTTTAGTGTTTTTCCTGCCCGAAACGATTTGTGTAATAGTGGCTTTAGGTATTGTATGTACTAGCGCTATCTATAAATTCATCAATATTTGTATCACACCTTGTATGTATGTAATTTACCTGAATAAACATTTGAATTTGAATTTTGAATTTTGAATACTATGTCTCCGCTCTGCTCTTCTCACACTAGTACTCTCACTGTCTATCCATATCTAACATACGGTATCTGTGCATGGGATTGATTGATTGATGAAGATTAAGCCACCCAAAAGGTGGCACGGGCATGAATAGCCCGTAAGTGGAGGCCCTTTTGAGCCATTACCAGTATCAAGAGCTGAAATACTGGAGATCTGCGGAGGTGCAACTGCACCCTGCGTGACGGGAGATGTCTCCCGTCACATGCAGATGTGCATGGGGTTCAACCACTCAACATTACCCCAAAACCCCATAAAATTCAGCTATCTGAACTATAACAAATTGTCTTCACACAACACACAGCCCCTCTGCTTAAATCCCTAAACAAGCTAAACATTCACTCCACACTGTCTCTTCTACTATTTACTTACAAAACCTTATTCCTAGCCTAATCCTGATCTGGAATTCTTCCTAGATGAAGGTAATAGAACCCATGAGCGCCAAACTAGAAATAAATATATTTTTGATATTTCCAGTTAGACTAAATCTGTGCAAACACTCCATGCTTGGACGATAGAGCGACTGTCTCGCTTTATGTACGTCGGCGTTCACTCCCCGACCGTCCAAGTGATTGGGCACTATTCCTTCCCTCCGTCCCATCCCAAATCCTTGTCCTGACCCCTTCCTAGTGCTATATAGTCGTAATGGCTTGGCGCTTTCCCCCCTGAAGATAACCTACTCTTCACCTACAGCAGCAAATAGGTTAGACAAGTGTTGTGGGGTTGCATCCTGGGGAGGGTTAGTACTTCCATCTTGGGAAGACCTCAATATAAGCCTATATATATATATATATATATATATATATATATATATATATATATATATATATATATATATATATATATATATATATATATATATATATATATATATATATATATATATATATATATATATATATATATATATATATATATATATATATGTACAGGCTGGCTCTCCAGCCTGTCCCTGACAAAAGGAATTAATAAGTTAAAAATATACAAAATATTAGTGAGTTACACATTGACTACGATCAGGAGCGTTTTCTTTAATTAGTATTTTACTGAAGTATCCAGAGAGAATGTTGTGTTTCAATAGGAATGGGGTTCTTAACTAAAATATGTTATCTCAAATTTAAAGATGGCCACCATCTCTCTGGTGGTTTTGACGAAAACAGAAAGCCGGCGGCTTGACAAAGGTCCCCTAGTTCTCCTGATGATTGTATCTAGCTGACTATAGAATTGCACCAGTGTTCTGGCCAGAAAGGCTTCGACGGGTAGGCAGTTCCATGGGTTAAAACCTTAAGGGTTTAAAGGCATATACTGTTTTCTACCCTACATTATAGCTTGTTGAGCTTGAAACCACTGTTCCTTGTTTCTGTTATATCTGACCTTTTAAAGAAATTGTCTGAATCAATATCCTCCCAATTGTTTTGTATTTTAAAAGATTCGATGATATCAGCCCTGTCATGTGTGGTTTGCAGTGTTGTTAGCCCTGTGGCCCTCGACCATTCCTGGTATGAAAGTCGACTTAGTACTGATATGAGTTTTTGTCAACCGGTATTGAACTTTCTCCAAAGCAGATGTGTCCTTCTGAAGATACAGTAGTCTAGATGGGGCGCACTAGAGATTTGTACAGTTGAATAACCGACACAATACCGATTGACATTTATAAAGATGGAGCCAGAGTTGAACTCTTCTCCAGTGAAGAGGCACGAAACGTTGTTTCCCCCAGAAAACTAGACTGTTCTGAACACCACGAACCCCCTACTCACCTCCTCACCACGATGTTACCTACCAGACACGACCATCTTTGTTAGAAGAATCAGCACCTGGGTATCCGACAGACAGAGACGCCATTGTTGCAAGCATCAACGACCAGAACCCTGCACTGACTGCAGTTGTAGCGAAAATTATCTCTAATGACGCAAATCACCGACCAACAACTTTGCTACTGAAGTGACCCTTGCTGTAGAAAACGGATTTAGATGGTTGGGCATGTCAACAACACTGGACCAAGTGAAGAAGGCGGCACCTCCAACTGAAGCAGAACTTCAAGTGCTATAAGTACGACCACTTCACCCAGAAATACACTTTGCTTCTTGGAAAATGTAGCATCTGCTTCTTGGAACACAATTACAAGAATTATACGGCAACTACCATACAGTACATCCTGCGTGACGGAACACTGTTTCTCCTGACTGCCCACACTGCTAGGCAGAAATAAAGCAAATTACTGAGGCTATAGAAGCTTTTCCCACAACCTGCCCGGCTGTTACGGGCTCACCATAGCCCGTGCTACATGGACACTTCGTTCCGAGTAGCTAAATCTGAAACAACAACAACAGCCGCCAAATAGCAGCATTTCCTTCGCTACCAATTTGTACAAACAATCAAGAGGCTACTCACTATTCATGGCCTGCCGACCGTAGAGGTACCGGATGACCTACCTTCTCCTCCTGTAATGTAGTGGAAAATGTTACAGAGGTACATAATGGGCTCAGGAATTAAGCCCCAAAATTCATTTGTGCTAAGCAAATTACAGTCTTGATAGGCTAGTTACAAAATGCAATGCGTATTGTTTATATCGACAATTACTGAGTGTGAGACCGAGCACAAACACAGTCTCCAAGCTAAGCAACTTACAGAAGTGGAGAGCTAGTGTCATAGTTGACATGTTGTTGAGTGAGGGGCGAGGACGATGAAGAGATGCGCCCGTGACATGTTTATGCTGCCCCCCGCCCAGGGGTCACCCACATTACTGCCTACACTTAACAAATTGGAGTTATTTAGATAACATTTATGGTAGTAATTCATTTTAAATAATAATAAAAATATTATTATCATTATTAGTATTATTATTATTAATAATAATAATTGTTAGGGAAAAGTTCATACATACAAAATGTGCACATCCGATCCCTCGATCTCCCTTCAATCAACAATATACATAGAAAATGGGGTACAAGTAAGTACTTATAAAAAATAATACATCAAGCCTTTTTGACTTTGTAGCCAAAAAAATAAAATGGTATACAAGAAGAATGTTGGAGTTCTAGATAGGGCAAGTATATATTATGCTCAAAGCCACTAACACGCTCAGCGCTTCGTGTCGGCCATTTTCAATTAAATATTTACCCATTGCTTATACACTTGTTCAAGAAATTTGGAGCTGTCTCTAAATTCCCACTCCATCACAGTTGTTTAGTTTAGTTCATTTATTATGCACCCCATACCCCATCATAGTGACAGTGGGCAGATAATGCTGACACAGTTTATATTTGGTCAGGTCTACTTTACCAGGTAATGTACCCTGCCAGAGAGAACAGTTACAGCCCCGCTCCTGTGCCAGGTAAGTCCACTACGGGCTCACCATAGCCCGTGCTACTTAGAAATTTGTTCCCAGTAGCTGAATCTTAAACAACGACAACCCTGCCAGAGGTACTTATAGCAGTATAAACCGAACAGTATTTATTTATTTATTTATCTATTTATTTATTTATTTATTTATATACAAGAAGGTACATTGGGTTAGAGAGAATACATAGCATAGTATTTACAATCTTATACCGCCACTAGTAGTAACATCTAGGAGTCTGCTGATTTTATTGCTTGATCCATAGATGTGTGGCTCTTCTTGCATGCTAATATGATGATAGATGGAATTATCAGTGTAGATTTCACATTGCCTCAGATCTACAAGGTTTTGTTGGAGTTCTTGGTGTATTATTGCTCTTAGGCTGCTTATAAGATAGTCAACTCCTCTGGAGGCACATTCTTTGGTTAACTCATCAGCTCTATCGTTGTTGTTGTTATAGACTGAGCTACTCTCAACAAGTTCCAAGTAGCACGGGCTATGGAGATCCCGTAACGTACCTGGCACAGGAGCGGTGCTGTGTCCTGCAGCACCGGCACTAACCGTTTTATCCCGCCCTTATCCTATATTACCTCACTCAAATCCTCATCCTTCTCCTTTCCCCAACCTTGCCACACTCTTCGGCCGTCGAAACGAAACATTTTGGTTGGATCCCGTGTTGGGAGCGAGAAGAGCATTAGGGTTGGATCCCGTGTTGAGAGTTTGATCCCGTGTTGAGAGCGAGAGAAGAGCATTAGGATTGGATCCCGGGTTGAGAGTTGAATCCCGTGTTGAGAGCGAGAGAAGAGCATTAGGATTGGATCCCGGGTTGAGAGTTGGATCCTGTGTTATGAGCGAGAGAAGAGTATTAGGATTGGATCCCGGGTTGAGAGTTGGGTCCCGTGTTATGAGCGAGAGAAGAGTATTAGGATTGGATCCCGGGTTGAAAGTTGGATCCCGTGTTGAGAGCGAGAGAAGAACATTAGGATTGGATCCCGTGTTAAGAGTTGGATCCCGTGTTATGAGCGAGAGAAGAGCATTAGGATTGGATCCCGGGTTGAAAGTTGGATCCCGTGTTAAGAGGGAGAGAAGAGCATTAGGATTGGATCCCGTGTTGAGAGTTGGATCCCGTGTTAAGAGCGAGAGAAGAGCATTAGGATTGGATCCCGGGTTGAGAGTTGGATCCCGTGTTGGGAGCGAGAGAAGAGCATTAGGATTGGATCCCGTGTTATGAGCGAGATAATAGGATTGTGACTGGATCTCGTGTTGAGAGTTGGATCCCGTGTTGAAGACGAGAGAACACAATACGAATTGGATCCGTACTGAGGGCGAGAGAAGAGGATTAGGGTTGGATCGTATAGCATGGAGGGTTGGAGATGTGATCCTGTATGAGGAGCAGGTTTGTTGTCCTGGCTCAGCTGGTCGCGGGACGCCACTAACATGGAGCGACGCTCTCTATGACACCCGCCCCGAGATGTCGTCCCTCTGGCGCAAGTTCCGTAAGTGTGGCACTCTAGTGGCACTCTGGTGGTACTCTGACACTCTAGTGACACTTCGAGTGTTGCCTCGGTGCCTGGCACCCCGGGTGTTGCCTCGGTGTGTGGCACCCCGAGTGTTGCCTCTGTGCCTGGCACCCCGAGTGTTGCCTCGGTGTGTGGCACCCCGGGTGTTGCCTCGGTGTGTGGCACCCCGGGTGTTGCCTCGGTGTGTGGCACCCCGAGTGTTGCCTCGGTGCGTGGCACCTAGAGTGTTGCCTCGGTGCGTGGCACCCCGAGTGTTGCCTCGGTGCCTGGCACCCCGGGTGTTGCCTCGGTGTGTGGCACCCCGAGTGTTGCCTCGGTGCGTGGCACCCCGGGTGTTGCCTCGGTGCCAGGTTTGCTTGGGCCAGGCACCACAGAGTTGCCTTAGTTAATTAGGCACCACAGTTAATTAGTACATGTTAGAAGCAAGAAAGTGGTAGGCTTTGTTGTATACAATTTTTAATTTATTTATATATACAAGAGTTCTTACTAGCAAGCATTGCATTTCGGGCACGGCCTTAATCACAATTTTCACTGGAATACGATGTGTCAACTTGTTTAACACCAGGGAGCCAGTCACTGCCGGCTGAACAGACGTGTACCTAACCTAACCTTCCTGAATCAACCTATCCTTACCTAACCAACCAAGATATCAATAGATTAGTGAATAAAATGCTATTACCAAAATAGTGAGGTACGTAGTACTGTACTGTATCTGATTTTAGGGAGTGGTTTTTTTTTTTACTGTTTTACAAAATTTTGTATATGGCAATTGAAATTCCGCTTACTGTCAGTGTAAACACCAAGCAATTTCCCATCTACGCTGCACTCAGTTCTAGTATTGTTAATTCTTAGTTCACTTTTATAATAATAATAATTTATTTACACGAGTGTACATACATGTGATACGTGAACAGAGGAAAATACATTGATAACATAATAATAATAATAATTTTTATTTAGGTAAGGTACATACATAAAGAGATTTTACAAAGTTTGTTGGCTTTATAGATAGAGCTAGTACATACAATGCCTAAAGCCACTATTACGCAAAGCGTTTCGGGCAGTACAAATAAGTACAATAAGTACAAAGCAAAGTACTTTGTACAATAAGTACAAAGCCACTACTATGCAGCCAAGTTTTTCAATGTTAAGGGAGAGTTTGTTAGTAGTCAGCCACAAATGAACTTTGTTTTTAGTTCAGTATTCACTGTGTCACTTTAAATAAGTGGATTAGTTTTTGAGAAAATGTAGGTTGTGTTATCAGCAGATAGAATTGGCTTCAGGTGTTACATGGCATTTAGAAGGTCATTGATGTGAATGAGTGAGAGAGGAGTGGCCCTACTATACTACCCTGTGGAACACCAATTAATTTATACATGCAAGAAAGTGCAGTGGGTTGTGAAAGTAAGTATGTTGGTGATTAAGTGGTACATTCTTGGAAAGCTACTAGCACACACAGCATTTTGGCCAGATCCTTAAATTAAACTAACTTATAAATGTAATGTTAGGTACATTAGAGAATTTAAATTCACATAATAACTACCTTAGCATAAAGTGATAAATTATACTGATGCAGTGTGGAAAAAGTAACATTGTTCACAGAAACATACTGGTGCCTGTCACTGATGTAAGATAAACTACTGTACTGTAGTATTGCTGAACGGAATGACCCCCTGATGCCATAGTGGTGCAGTTTAAGGTTATTATGGTTAACTGTGTCAAAGGCATTATGCATGTCAACAAATACATCTATGGGGTACTCATTTTTTGTCAGGCGCTGCATGTATCTAGTAAAGCATTTTAAAACATCACTGTGCTTTTATAGGGTCAGAAACCATATTGATAAGAACTAAGTACTGCATTGTACTGTATATTAGTCTCTGTAGTACAGTTGGATTTGTTATCAATTCACAATCGAGAATCCTGAGTTTGAATCCCGTGTGGGACAGAAATGGTTGGGCACATTTTCTTTAACCTAATGCCTCTGTTCATCTAGCAGTAAATAGGTACCAGGAGTTAATCAACTATTGCGGTGATGCATTCTGGGCAGGGTCAGTAGTTTGACCTTTGGAGGGTGTGAACTTTATACCCGCCTAACATATATATATATATACAGTATACTGTACAACCAAGGCCACATTGTATCTGATCATTCCATAATGAAGAACTATGCATAATAAAGTGATGGGTGTTCTGTATAACATTTTATTGTGTATAAATAGTTATTGCTGAAAATTCAGTCTTCCCATTTTGTGGTTGTTTCTCACTGTGTTGTCACTGTACTGTGTGTGATTTTGGCAGGTGGAGGAGTAGGTGCGGGAGGAAGTCCTAATCATGCAAACTATCATAGGAAAGGAAACCCACAGCAAGTTTGCCAGGAAGGTGCCCCCTCTGTGTTGCATGATCCGGGCATCCTTAAAGTGGATTCCACCCAGATTGCTCGTACCTCGTCACACACCATCACTCAAACCGATGAGCAGCATTTCATGAGTGATAGCGGTGAGTGGATTAATATGATTTTAATGTATGGTGAATTATAAGAAATAAATGTTTTTTTTTTTTTTTGTTATAAATAACAGTGAATTTACACTTGAACTGATCTTAGTTCACTAGAAGAATCAAATGCAGTGGAATGGAAAGATTACATTTTTAGTAATACAGTATCCAGTGCAATGAATTAGGCGTGTAGTTAATAAAGATATTGTGCTAAGAAATAAGTTTTATTGCTAAGTTTTATTTCCATGTTAACACATTAATTTTCTTTGAAAGATTAAGACACCACTGTGTCATAGACAGGCTCCTTGAACATTTTTTCAGGGTTATGTAAGGCGGTGGCAATGCATGGAGAATCTCAGTTCAACTCAAAATGATTGTGAAAGGTACAGTGGTCCATATCCTCGACCCACAATCAAAGGACCCAAGTTCACTTCCCAGAGGATTCAGAAGTGGTTAAGCATGTTTCCTTTCACCTAATACCGCTGTTCACCTAACAGTAAATAGGTACCCAGGAATTAGGCAACTTTTGTGAGGTTGCATCCTTGGGAAAGGTTAATAGTTTGACCGTGGGTGGACCTCAATATGCCTAAGTACAGGCTTCCTCTCCCTGATAACAGGAAATATACTTTGTTTGTTTTCAGTTACACAAAATATTAACTGTAAGATTTACATAAAATACAGCCTGTGTTCTTATTTTAAATATATTCTAAGTATGACTTAATTTAATATGATAAATATTTGGGACATTCTCAGTGCTATATGGCTTATGACAGATCACTAACAATTTACAAAGGAAATGAAAAATAAATCTTCACTAGAAAATTATTCTGGGAAGCAGGTCTAAAACAAATGGTGGGCTGTGATACCCTCACAACATCTGCTGTAACTTAATTTGGAGGTTGCAGGACCTATCAGTTTTTCAGGGGAGGCTTGTCTATTGTCTCCCTCTGTCTGAAGCCTAGTTGGCCCCCCCCCCCATATGCAGAAAATGCAGTATATTTGTATATGGAACAGCTACATTTATAGTAATACTGTATTCTAAGAAACAAAATACAGTACGGTAATCTAAATACTGTATTTTGAAACGTCCACCGTGGAAATGTTAGATTATATATCAAGAAGAACAAAAAAGCAAACTCAAATTTATAATTTTAAAGGTTATTCAGCACATTGTCCTATGTTACATTTTTTCTTACTATATACAATACTGTAATGATGGATAAGGCATAGTTGATGCTTAACATGCTTATATAATGGTTCTCAAAATTGATTACATACCCATGATATTCTAATGCATTCCATTTCATGCCTTTGTGTATGTGGATGTGTAAATGCATTTCTAGATTATATGTAATAATGTTTTCATTCTTCCCAGGACAAGACAGAGTAGACCCTCTACTCATTCAGTCACAGTTTGTGAAGACTGTGGAGGACATTCTCAGCAGCCCCTCAACTCTACCATACTTCCTTCAGTTTCTTCAGGGTTGGGGTGCGGACAAGTATGCACGGTTTTGGATGGATACCAACAGCTTTAGTGCTGCAGCCGTAACACGCATCAACAGTCAAGATTTTCAAGTTTCCTATGATAATCCTTCTTCCATGCCTGGTAATATAGGGGAAAAAAGTAATAAAGAAAAATATAATAAAACCTTAGACAGTGACCAGAGAATATCTTCTTGTGATAGTAAAAGTGATTTCTGTAAAACACACTCGCTTGAAAAATTCAGTTTGGATTGTTCGAAGGACATCCAAAATACCCGGGACAAAAGTCTAATACTGCCTGATCTAGTGAGTAGTATTGAAAATGCCAGTGATGTTACTCCCCTGAACACTCCTGATGGGAGCTCCTCAAAAGTGTTAACGTGTCGTGCTCGAACTTCTCAAGAAGAACAAATTAGTGTTAGAGAAAAAGAAAATGTGTTAATTCAACAAAAGAATATTGAAATGCAACCCAGCAACAGTGCAGCACAAGATACAAGTACGAACGAGAGTAGTAACTCTAGCCTAAGTGCCTCCCAGTGCCTTCAGGCACAGAAACTAAGACAGAGTATAGCAGATGATGCCATGAGAATTTTTAACAAGTATCTAGCAAAAGATGCCGAACATTCTGTCGGAGTGAATGATGCTGTTGTAGATAACATTTTACAAAATATTTCTATTGTACAAGAAGATATTGATCCTAATTGCTTCATGTCAGCTCAGAAGATTGTGTTCAGTGCTTTAGAACAAGAGTAAGTTCTAGTTAATAGTTATGGGTCATTAGATAACTTAAATATTACTGGTACTGTACATTAATCAGATGATTCTAAAACACATCATCCAACCTGAAATTTCTCAAAATTACTTCCAAAATTACGAAGTTTTTCCCGGCCGAGTGCCTGGAGGTTTCCCAGACTGTGGCTCTTGGTGTGGGAGATTTTGGCCAGTTTTCAAGGAGCCACAATTTTTGTTAAAAGCACATACATTATCTGTAAAGAGTTACTTTTAAAGTATTAGATAAATGTTATAGATTAAACTTACTTGCCAAGATTAAATATTAAAACTATTGCTACTAGATTTTGTTTTTTGCTAGAGGATTAAACTTACTATACTGTATATGGAAAACCAGTTAAATCGTGTATTTTTGTTATTTGATGATTTGAAGCTGCCTAGCTAGATAACCTGTAGTTGGTTAGTCTCTCCCTCACCCTTCTTCCCTTCCTCCCTCCCTTTCTTTCCTTCCCCATCCTTCCTGTCCCTCACATCCCCCTCTTTCCCCCCATCCACCCAACTACTTGGACTGGATGGTAGAGTGACGGTCTCAGTAGCAGGTTAGTATTGTGTGTCTAAACACTGCAGGTTAGTAGTGTGGGTGAGAAGGCATGCAGGTTGCCAATCAATCCTCAACCGTCCAAGTGTTTGGCTATTCTTTCCGCACGTCCCATCCCAAATCCTTATTCTGATCCCTTCCATGTGCTATACAGTATAGGCATAATGGCTTGGCACTTTCTCCTGATAGTTTCCTTCACTCCCCCCCTCTCATCCTTTCTTTCACTCCCCCTTCCATCCCTTCCTTCCCTCCCCTATTCTTCTTGTTTTCTATTTAAACCATTATTTTAAGAATTAAAGCAGTCATTACTTGTTGCAGTACTGATGACTCAGTACTATCAATAAGATATAAGTGGGAATTTTGTTTGAATAATCTATCATTGTATGGATTTGACATGCATGGGTCAGGTACAAAATGTATTTGTTAAACTTGTGGAAGCTTCAGCTATGATATGTTGAACCCTTGGTAATTGACTTGTTTGTTTTCTTAATTTTCTCAAAGGTTTTTGCCCAAGTTTCTGGCTAGTGACTACTACCTCAAACATCAGATCGATGTCCTCACCAGTGGCTCAGTTCGGTTGGCAGATATACTCTACAGTGACTCTGCATTTCCCTATTTTATGGAGGTTTGTATTTGCCTTATCTGGTTAACAATTCTGGTATTGAGAAGTATATATTCCCCATAATTTTTTATTTTTGTTTGCACATCCTGTGCTATAGAAGTAACAAATGGCATAAAGAACTATGATTGGCTGTGACTGAAAAATGTCCTTATTTTAATTTCATAGTGCCAAGTTTTCTCTATTCAAAAAAGTTTTATGCACTCTACACATTTTCAGAAAAAATTAAAAGTTTATATTTACTCCTGTGTTGTACTTTTGTTTAACTTGGACTGTTTATAATTTAACAAAATAATATATTTATTCAGGTAAAGGTACATATATTAAAAATGAGTTACAAACATAATGTGGCATTAATAGATAGAGTTAGTACATACAATGCCTGAAACCACTAATACGCACTAATAAGCATTTCGGGCAAGAACTTTTTCAAATTCTTTTCAAATTCCCACTACCTCACCCATGCACATTTGTACCAAAACAACACAGCTAGTATTTCAACTTGTGGAAATTGCAGGATAAACATTTGTTATATATTCTCAACTTTTACTGATTTAATTTATTCCTTTTCCTTGCATTGCCCAACATTAAAACAATAACATTAATCAGCATTAATATATCTACTGAAGCAAAAATGTTGTTCATTGGAAGGGCTTTTTTCTGATTACTTATGCCTCCAAAGTATAGATAATGGCTATTGTTCCCCTCAAACTTTGGTTTGACTTTTACCTTACATAACATAGAAAGATGTTTTGATGGTACAGTACTTGATGGGTGCTGACTGACTTCTTACCTAGAGTTGTGTCACAGCTCAAGATAAGGAGTCAGCAGCCTTCAGTACCTTCAAGATGTCTTCCCTGAACTGTCATGGGTAAAAGTCAAAGCAAAAGTTTAAGGGGAATAATAGCCATTTTCTGTACTTTGGAGGTATAAGTAATCAGAAAATAACGCTTACTACCCAGGGTCAAACAAAAGTTTAATTTGTTATGTAGTGTTATCTTTTGACTATCAAAAGTTTACCATTAACCTGTCTTCACATTAATTTATTACATATTTATTTTATTCATTATTTAATATATGTGTACACACACAAGTAGGTACCATGGGTTGTGAAAGTATGCAGACTTTTGTTATTAAATAGTACATGATTGCAAAGTTACTAACATGCATAGTATTTTGGGAGATTAGATGGTGACCAGCTAAAGTAACATTGTAAAGATTGTAAAGCTACTAACTTTCACAGCATTTAGGGCTAATTGTCCCTTGTACAGGTGGAGGACATACCACCCACCTGAATGTCTCATCATTATTTTGGCTTGCATTCTTGCAGTACGTGGAGCAAGAGGGTGGGCGGAATATGCTGCAGTTGTGGGTGGCAGTATCAAATTTTCGGCAGCAGCTGATGGAACAAGCCGACCTGTATGATTCAAAGCAGGCACAAGCTGATGCCATGATTCTGTATGACAAGTGAGTCCAAACTAACCACATGATGTTCTTATCACAAAATCTAATAAAGGTTATAGATAATTATCTATATCTAAACATGTCAGTAGTACACATAATTAATAAAGTTACTTGAAAATCCATTTAGTAAATTGTCTTACACAATACTAAGTGTATGTAAGAATAATGACTAAATGTATATACAGGCATTATTATTGTTTGGGAGAATAGGATGGGAGCAGCAAAATACATTTTTTGTCACGCTGCTTTGCTAAATATATATACTTTTTGTTGCAGGTATTTCTCTTTGCAAGCAATGTGTCCACTTGGCTTCAGTGATAGTGTCAGGTTCATTGTAGAGGGAAACATTTGTCGTGAGAAAGGACCTCTGCCCTCTTGTTTTGATTTACCACTTAGAGTGGTACTGCATATACTGGAGAGAGTAAGTACACGACCACATTATGAATTTTTGAACATCTTTTCTTCAGTTTCTATAAAGAATGCTACCACTTTCACATGAAAATAGGCATCACTACATTTTAAATGATAATCTACCCAAATTATAAAGTTATCACTAAACTGGGTCAGATGAAAGTCCTGGTATAGAACTCTAGGTCAAGGAAGGGTAATTATCAAGTTGTAATTACCTAAGTGTAGTTACATAAGCTGCCTCGCATAATAGGAGGCAGCTCCTATTTATAACTCCCTAATCCCACTCATATACATGTCCAACCCATGCTTGACACAATCAAGGGACCCCACCTCATGCCATGTAGCAACTGGTTCCACATAACAATAACCTTGTTTTTTAACCAGTATTTACCCAGTTCTTTCCAAAATCTAAACTTGTCCAGTTTATACCCATTGTTTCGTTTTCTTTCCTGTGTTGATACTTTTAATACCCTATTAATATCCCCTTTGTTATGTCCATTCATCCACTTGTCAACCTCTATTATGTCACCCCTAACTCTTCGCCTTTCCAGTAAATGCAATTTAAGTTTTGTTAATCTTTCTTCATATGTCAGGTTTCTAATTTGGGGAATTAACTTTGTCATCTTTCGCTGGACATGTTCTAATGAATTTATATCCATTCTATAGTACGGCGACCAAAACTAAACTGCATAATCTAAATGGGGCCTAACCAGAGCACGATACAGCTGAAGAACACCAGGTGTCTTGTTACTAATTACAGGATGAAAGCCATGCTTGTGGTGTCCTGTTTTCCCAGTATTCTTTGTCATATGATGCTTTAAAACTACTAACAGTTTTGGCCTCCAGCACCACCTTCTCACTTAACTTGTCCCAACTTTCTACCACCCTGCAAAATAGAACTTTCTAATATTGTTTTGACATCTTTGCTTCCTGAGTTTGAATCTGTGACCTCTTGCTCTTGAAGCTTGCAGTCTCAAGAATTTCTCTTTTTGTCAGTTTTGTATATATAAACAAATGGTAACCAAGCCATGGTAAGAAAATGGTAACTTATAACTCACCAAGCCATAGTCTGATGCTCATTGAGATACATTATAAGGAGCAGAATTCTTTAGTTCATATTTCTGTTTTTTCAAGAAAACCTGAGACACATGACTCATAGCCAGACACCAATGTCAATACCCAACTTCCCATTCTCATAATCTGGATATATCACAGGCTGCCTCATTTGCTCGGTTTTTTGCAATTTTCATTAACCTTAGCTGTGGATTTGGTAAATTTTTACGCAAGGAATGACTACAAAACAACTTGTACAGCTAGATGTTATTTCAGGATTTCTTGCCGGGTTATTTATCTTCCAACCTACACATTAAGTACCTGAGTGAACTAATCAACACAGTCAAAACAAGTGTGGAACTGCTTGGTCGCAAGAAACGTTCCGGTAAGTATGGTGTTGTACTAGTGCTAATTTGAATGCTTAACCCTTAAATGGTTCCAGTCACTATGATTACCTTTGTGCTCGTCATCAAATGGGATTTTTTCTTACATTACTTTTGTGAACATTTTATCATACGTGCACAATGTAGGACTTAATTAGTGGAGCCATTTAAGCTTTGATCATCAATTTATCATTTCTGTGTTGGTATATCTATATATACATAATATATATAATAATTTATAGTCCTTTCATCCAGTAAGACAGCCCATGCAATAAAAGCCTGAGACATTCCCCAAGGTTATAAAAATCTTTCTGAAAATTTCTGGAAACGAACCTGTGCTGTGATTTGTCATATACAGTATGAAAACTTTCCTTAAATTTCTCCAAAGTGACAACCTCTTTCTACAGACGAGGAGTCACAATAACGTGGCTGAAATATGTTGACCAAACCATACACTAGAAAGTGAAGGGACGACGATGTTTCAATCCGTCCTGGACCATTCTTGACACAATCGACTTGAGAATGGTCCAGGACAGACCAAAACGTCGTCATCCCTTCAATTTCTAGTGTGTGGTTTGGTCAACAACCTCTTTATAATGTGATAAATTACAGGATGTTTATAGTTTTTGGCATTTGGTTCCAGTTTGGCTACTGCGTATATATATATATGGTGAATTGCTGGAGGCTGTTGTAGTAGGGAGATTTTCGTCAAATGACATGAACTAATTAATGGTTCTTCTATCTCTGAAGGTTCTGAGAGTACTTGCAGCAGCGAGCAGAGCAGCAGTTGTGGCGGTGCAGGGATCAGCACTCACAACACATTGCTGGCCATGGATACATCTGCACCCCATCGCTTCCGCAACTTGGATGATCCCACGCTTGCCATGAGGATAGATGAAGCTCAGATAACAGATCCTGACTCACTGTGGCGTAGGAAAAATTTTAGGTATTTCCTTTGTGCAATGCCATTTCCTAAATTTAGGCACTATTGTACTGGACTTGCTCTGGCTTCATGTAATTTCTTAATTTTTGATTACAGTATTTTGTTTATTTTGGCTACTTATCATAAAATGTTTTTAAGTTTTCTTGTAGCAAATTATACAATGCATCTTTATTTCTCTTTAGACACACACTATATAAACATTAATTGTTAATAAAAATATAATGAAAACTTAATTATGCAGTATGTTTACTGAAGACTGTTCATTTGCTGGAATTTAAGTACCTAGTGCAGTGGTTCCAAAACTTTTTTCACAGTTCCAAAACTGTGGGGACGTTGATCCTTGGAATCATCGACAGGTGTGTAGTACAGTGGTCTGTGTTTTTGATTCACAATTAAACAACCCAAATTTTAAGTATAGGCTTTTTATCACAACAATGGAAATTTGAATTATGACATTTATTCACATTGATTGTCATTTTCTGTGTTCCTTCACTGGTAGTGTGTGTACCTGCTACCAGTACAGGTAAATGGAGAAAAATATGTGTACATGCAGCTCCAGCCACTACATGAATTTTTCTTACGTTCAATTCTTAAGCAAAGAAAACATGCAGTCCACTAACAGTGTGATCAAATTCGTATTAAACTGTTTTGCTCGTGCATTTGCTTATTGGCATTTAAACGTACTTTCCTTTACAGCAAAATGAGTTGTGGCTATATCAACGAGCTTGGAAGATTTGAGTCTGATCTCCAGCCCGAGCCAGACCGCAAAACGGAATCCAAAATCTCAAAAACACTGAAGAAATTTGTTAATATGGACGAGGACAAAGTCAAAGAAGACATGGCATACAAAGTGGCCGAGATGATCATTAAGGATGTGACGAGTGTGACTCTTAGCTCGCAGCACAGTGGTAGGTCAAGTGTGGAGTCGTCGGCACCACCCCTCTCTCCATCCTCGGTCTCCCAAGATAATCTCAGTGATGTCTTCTCGTCGTGATTGGAGAAATTATTCATTGTTATATATACTCTATTATTTCTTAACAATTACCAATACAATATATCTTACTATTTTAATTAGCTACATTAACATACAACAGTGGGTTTGACTTGGCATTAGCTGGATTGTTTAATTAGACTGGTTAGTGTGATTGGGTTGTCGAATGATGTGATATATTTAAAATGATGAATTTTGTTAAAATTTATAGCTAAAATACTTGTACTCACCTAGTTGTGCTTGCGGGGGTTGAGCTCTGGCTCTTTGGTCCCGCCTCTGCTGTCAATCAACTGGTGTACATATTCCTAAGCCTACTGGACTCTTATCATATCTACATTTGAAACTGTGTATGTACAGTATGTATGTACTGTATGTATTAATTATTAATTAATCTACCCTGGCTTTGCGCCCTGGAGAGGCCACTCCAGACCGGGAACCAGAGCCCAACTCCATAGTCTCCTGAGACTGATGGATGCCTACTATGTGTGTGTGTATGTATGTATGTATGTGTGTGTGTATGTATGTATATTACATTATACTCTTTATGTGAATCCTCTTTTATTTCTCATTCAGATTAAAATTATTTTAGAATTAGAAACTTGTAACAATATATACAAGTCATTACAATAATGGCTGAACTAAACAGGTGTACAACAGTCTAAATTAGACTTGCATTTTTAGGTAGGAAGGGGGGGGGAGGACCTAAATAATTATTCAAGCATTTAGCAAGCATTGCATGTATGTCATTCTACAAACAGCCGTCTCTCATTTGTATAGGATGATGCAAGTCTCTGCATTGTGTTACATTTTCACTCATTTTCTTCAAGTTTAGATTGTAAGCTATTGAGCTCCACTGTTGAGTTGGTAACCAGGGTTCATTGCTTGTATAAAAATTGTGAAATTGTTTTAACCCTGTTGAGAATACGTGCTCTTGCTTCAAGTGGGATACAGAATGACAGTAAATGAATATTTAATACACTGACGGTTGGAACTAGATAATAATATACTACTACTAGCAAATATTATGTATGGTCCGATTACACTTATATAGTAGTAGTACTTATTATACTTTTTATAATGCCAGTAATCACGGCCTATGTTTCAGGCAAAGGATAAGGAATATATAAATTTTAAATGGAGATTTCCTTATTTAAATTTTGTGCTAAGTTTTTTTTTTTGGCAATCACCTACTCTAAATACAAATCAATCTATTCTCTACATGGAAAGGAATAATAGGGAATAATAAAGGACATAGTTAATGCAGAGTTAGTGAGGAGTGTGCTGTCAAGTAATGTTGTACTGTATATCACATTATATTTTGCAATATGTTGCCCATCATGAACTCGGACAACAAAGTGGGTGTAAAAATATAATGTGGTGAGGCAGAAGAGATGTGGTTAATAGGGAAGAAACTGTAGTGATGAGCTGCGAGACTGACAAGAATTTACACAAAGTTTTTGTCTGATAGCATAAACACTGAAATTACTACAGTATGTCATTAAGCTTGTCAGAGAGTATGGATACTATTCAAGTTACTGTCATATGTCACTAGGTTTGTCACGGAGCATAAACACTGGGAAGATACTGTAATATGTAACCAGGTGTTACATATTAGTACTGTAGTCACATAATTATTAGAACTTTTTTTTCCCATTTACATGTGATTCGTTGGTACAGTATTTAAAGAGCAGCAACGTGTAGGTATTAGAGATGGAATGTGAGGTAGCAGATATGAAATGGGCAGGATTGGACAGCAACATGCGGGACAGTAGATGTAGAATGGCCAGAAGTGGACAGTAACATGCGGGACTGCAGAGATGGAATGGGCATAAGTGGATAGTAACATGCGGGACTGCAGAGGTGGAATGGGCATGAGTGGATAGTAACATGCGGGACAGCAGAGATGGAATGGGCCAGAAATGGACAGTAACATGCGGGACAGCAGAGATGGAATGGGCCAGAAATGGACAGTAACATGCGGGACAGCAGAGATGGAATGGGCATGAGTGGATAGTAACATGCGGGACTGCAGAGATGGAATGGGCATGAGTGGATAGTAACATGCGGGACAGCAGAGATGGAATGGGCATGAGTGGACAGTAACATGCAGAACAGCAGAGATGAATGGCCAGAAATGGACAGTAACATGCGGGACAGCAGAGATGGAATGGGCAGGAATGCTCAGTAACGTGTTCAGTGTCAGGAGAAAGCAATACTAGGAGAGCTGGCTCATTAACTATATGGAAATAGATAAGAATGTTATGGCAGTAAGGAAAATATACAGAATCTCAGTGTTGGAACTAATGGCAAATAACAAACTTGGAATGTGTAGGTGTTCAAATGGAGATAGGTCTTGTATAGTAATAGAAGAGGTATAGTAGATTTAGATGGGGGTTGTCTTGAGATTTGTCCATTGTAACTTTGTTCTTGGGGGGGAGGGGGGTCATGGAAGAAGTTAGGTTATTAGACATGTAAACACAACATTTAAAAATTCTGTGTGCCTCTTTCCTGATGACACTTACAATTTGGCAATCAGGAAGGCAAAATAAACTATACATCCTGTTGTACATATGGAACTGCTTGCATGCACTATCTTTTATACACATTCATGCAAGTAGACATGTATTATCTATAATTGATACATTGTGTATATATACTATTTAAGTTGCCATTATGACAAATCATGTGCAAAAGAATATTTTATGTTCAAATGTATTTTAGCTGATCAGTAGAGATTTGCATGGAACTGTTTTTGTTGTATTCTAATGTAGTTTTAAATTGTGTTGCGTGTTGTGGGAGCAGACACCCCAAGTGGTGGTGTGAAGAACCAAGCTGCATAGTCATCACCAGCTGGAGTATTCTTGATGTGACATACAATATGCAGTGTGTTTAGTACTGAGTGAGTAAATGAGATGATCACCGTAACACTACAGCGTAAGCATACAAGTGTGTTAATTTCCTGCATAACATACATTGTATAGAAATTAGAAAATAAGTAATATATAAATGCATGTACGTACTGTATACTTATACAGTATTCCACTTTTATTTAAAGGATCTGATATGGCACTGGATCGGATAATGTGCATATCTTTAGATGTATCGATAATAACCAGTAATTAGTGGAGGTATAGATTTATTTCTCTTAGGTGGTCAAAACCCCATCTTAAACCGGCATGTCTTAATGTTAAGTAGATATATTTATGATATATAAAGAAAGGGATGACAGTAGTCACTTCTTATAGGTTTAGAATTATATACAAGTTTACATTTCCAGAAGTTAGGTTGTAAGACTTGCCAAAGGTATCTTAAGAAACCAATGATGCTTTATTCTTAGGCTAGATATTGTTAAGACTCGACTACTGTTTAATGTTTGTTTCGTTTAAATTTTTAAGTTGTTTTTTATATTGTGTTTACGTTTGACATGATGCATAACGAAATCACAAGATATAAACTTAATGTGTATCTGGCTTACTATTGGTGGTGCATCATTTTGTCATACATCTAAAGTCAATATTTAATTTTCTTACAGTTGCACTGTCACAAAGTGAAAGTTCAATATTAAATTTTTTTTGTTTTTTTGAGCGACAGAGCAGGTCAACATTTGGCACCGAGAAAGCCTCACTGTGGTGGGTCATATTTATTCTAGGGGAATCACAGGAGAATACTCAATCCATCCTAGAGTGTAGACATAATAATTGTTACCTTAAAACTCAAATCCCCATCCAAAGCAGAATTGGGTAACACAGACCATGAAGCTGTGACCTGGCAAACTACCAGTAAGTTACTACCACCGACTCCCACCATATGGCATTGCTTCACTACAACAGTGCTCACTAACCCCACTGTCTCGCATTTCCAGTATCTTAGGCAAAGAGAAGAAAACCCATACCCATCACAGGGGAGCCAAATAAGAACGGTGGGAGTTACCGAGTTAACGGCTCCGAAAACGTTTTTGGTAAGTTCTAAGCTATATTTCTGAGGTACTATACTTAGTTGCTTCCTAAAGCAAAGACTAGTGTAATCCATTCATATATCAAGGACAGGTGATGTTAAGAGCAGCTGCAGGGAAGAAAAATCGTAGAAGGAACCACAGCTGGAGGAAACGAGGAACTTAAATGAAACACAGAGTACAGGACACAGACTAATGCATAGAAGAAAAGCAACATGTAAAGGATCTGGGAATTATTATGTCTGACAATCTGATATTTAGTGAACATAACCAAGCAAATATAGTGGTGGTCAGGAAAATGAGACGATGGATTATGAGAATATTCAAATTCAGAGACAGCAGTGCTAATACTATCTAAATCACTGGTGCTGTCCCTGTCTTGAGTACTGCTCGGTACCGACTTTCCTTTTCAGAGCGGGAGAGATTTTTTAAATAGAGGGAATACAGAGAACCTGTATAGCACACATGGACAAGATAAAACGCCTAACTTATTGAAACCGTCTCAAAGCTCTCAAAATGTACTCTCTGGAAAGTAGACAAGAGAGGTATAAAATAATATATACATGGAAGATACTGGAAGGCCAGGTCCCAAATTTGCACGGTAGAATAACAACAAACTAGAGTGAAATGTATGGAAGGAAATGCAGAATAGAAGCAATGAGAAGAGGTGCCGTAGGCACAATTAGAGAACACTGAACATCAGAGGTTCATGGCTGTTCAATACTTTCCCGGCAAGCATTAGAAATATTGTTAGAACAAAGGTGGAAGTCTTCATGAAGCAATTACATAAATTCTTGCAGGAAGTGTCGGACAACTCGGTTGTAGTGGATGTGTGGACCTGTGGGCTGCTCCAAACAACTACCTGTTGGACCAAGTTATCCCAAGTTAAGCCTGGCCATAGGCCAGGCTCGTGGAGTACAACTCCTGAAACCCTCTCCAGGTATGCTATAGGTATACTGCACTTTTTGATATGTGACTAATCTGAGAAGATTACCATCAGGTGAGCCTGCCCAAAATGACACTAATGTAATTGAACCCTAGGGAGGTAATGAAAGGCAAACATTTCAAAAGATGAAACAATTAAGTTCTAATATCAGCATAGGACATTGTTGTTAAAATGCCTTTAGTGTGGCTAATACAGACTTTAGAGCAGGGAACCATGGTGTGAGGGGAAGCCACTTTGAAGTGCTGAGCTTCCAAGGGATAATTACTGAAGAAGCCACAGGCCACAATATGAAGTACTGAATTTACATGAGAATTTACCCCATTGAGCAACCACTTGGGCTGGACGGTAGAGCGACGGTCTCGCTTCATGCAGGTCGGCATTCGATCCCCGACCGTCCATGTGGTTGGGCACCATTCCTTACCCCCGTCCCATCCCAAATCCTTA